TAATTCTTAAGGGGGGGAAGAAGAGCAATTTTGATGTTGACGAATTTTGAAAACAAACGCAAGAGGTCCAGAAATTGTACAACAGATACACAAGAAGACCAGTCTGGAGGCATCGCGAAAAACAACAATCGTTGATTCTCGCAAAGGGCGGCAGTAGAGGCTGCTCAAAACATACATTTCACGCGTCTACCTCCACAGGCAAGGCTTCCTTTGAAATCAAGATAAAAATTCGCTCTATTCTAAATTCAAGTCAAAGAGCCAAAATGGAAGGCGCTCAAATAAGGTCAGTTTTGAGGGTTAGGTTAGGCGTTCTATTGTCAGCAGTAGAGGACATCATGAAGAGGCGTCGTGCGTGCTGGCACGTTTAGGTTTGCTACTGGAGCGGAAATATCGAAGGTCGCAGCAGCCGCTGAAAACAGTCCGAAATGCTGCGCCGGAACCAAGCGGCATCCAACATTTGTCACAGCCATGCTCGCCGTCACGGACCCCAATCACCTGAGTTACGGGTTTACAGCAGTAGCTGATGCCACTAGCTACTGCTGACACCCCTCCGTTCAGGGGTTTACGGTCCGTGGCGGTGAGCATGGCTGTGACAAATGTTGGATGCCGCTTGGTTCCGGCGCAGATTTCGGACTGTTTTCAGCGGCTGCTGCGACCTTCGATATTTCCGCTCCAGTAGCTAACCTGAACGTGCCAGCACGCACGACGCCTCTTCATGATGTCCTCTACTGATGACAATAGAATGTCTAACCTAACCCCGGCGGGAAGGTTGTTTTCTTTCTTTGTATAGGATTAAAGTACGGGAAAAGAGCGAGCGTCAAAACCGCTGTTCTTCCCCCCCTTCCCGCGCTATATGTCTGTAGTCTAGGTACAGTACATTGGTACGTACAGCAGCAGTAGGGTGCTCAACATAATGTAGGGAACTGATCTTCCTTGTAGAGAGGTCCGCGCCGAAGCACTACCGCATACACAAGGATATATGAATCTACTGTAACACAGTATGCAGCAGTGGATGACACGCCAACTGTTACCTGTAAAATTTGGTCACCGTCATCGTCTATCGACGGTCCTTTTCGCCACAGCCCCCTCTATTGTTCCATGATCCTGTGCTAGCCGCGACTTGATCACGAGCGTACAGCACGGGGCGCGTGTGCGACGAGCTCATACCTTTTGCCCCACAACACAGAACATGCGCCAAGCGACAGGTCAAGATCTTGGATCTTGTAAGGGGTTCCGTAGGATGCAAATACATTTTACAAGGTCACAGCGGGGGCATCCCTCTCTTGGTCTATGATGCTGTGTCGGGTTATATATAGGTTCGTTGTCATCAGTCAGTAGCCAGACAGGCGATCCGCACCAACAAGGCTGATCGCTTTGTTTCAAGGTCGTATTTCTGTTCTACAACAAGCCGAGAGGCAGCAATCCCCGAAAGGATGAGCGAGAGCAGGGAAGGTAGAGACGAAACTGCCCGTGACGACGACAAGCGTTCAAGGAAAAGCCCTCAGGACATGGAGCGCAGCAGCGGCAGCGGCAGCAGCAGCAGCAGCAGCAGCAGTAGCAGCGGCAGTGACAGCGGCGACAACAGCGACAACAGCGGTAGTACGAGTAGCGAAGAGGATGCCCGCGGTGGTGCTCGCCTCGCACCGAGCATGGTGACCTCGATCCCGCGGAGGTTTAAATGCTCGAGGTGTGCCAAGTGCAAGTACCAGTCGAAGGTATGCTACATCCATGAGACAGATACAGATCGCGAAGGTCACACACAGGCTCACTCTCCACACTGCCTGCGGTACATGGGATTTGAAAATCGGCTTTCTAGGTCCACCCTCCCTGTGGATCTGTGCGTGCTTGGGCAGGCCAGGCGGCACCCAGCGCACAACCGCACCCCTCTTGGCGCTGCCCTACACAGCGGGCGCGCGTTTTTCGTTTTTCAGGGAAACATTAACATTGCACTCTAACTCTAGTATACAGCAGGGTACTCCTGTACCAGTAAGTGGTCTACAGCAGTACAGCCTAATTAGTCTACGGTAGGCCAGGATCCAACACAAACAACGGCAGCGGAGCAAATCGGGGGTCCTAAAAAAACCGTCGCAGTCCGCCCGTATCTTCCAGGTCGTTCGAAGCACATAGCAAAGCACCGCTGTGCGCGCTTCGCCGCAGGCTGTGCCGCCCTCTTTGCCACGCTGCAGCAGTACTGTACACGTGCTTTGCCGATGGGCATCGTTTGGTTTTGCATTTGCGCCACAGGGGACGTTTTACTGCAGGGTGAACCAGCTGCACCTCGTGGCGCCAGGCTGGGAGGATGCTGATCAGACGGCGACGTGGGATCCCCCACGAGGGTTTCTCAAGTGGCTTCGTAATGCCGGGCCCGTGGTGGGCTGCGAGGTGTGGATGCATGATTTATTTAGCGGCAGTAGCTGATGGAGGGGGGGGGGGCTGTATCATCAAGAGACTTGGGGACGGATATGTATGGCACAGCAGGTCGTTGTTGGATCGTTTTCGCTCGTGAAGGCTGCAAGCTCCGCACAACAAGGCGCAGGGTAAAAGGTAGTGCTCTGCTAACACTATGAGTTAATTGCTAATCCTGGATCCTTGTCCATGAATATGCAATAGATGGGTCTGTTGTGCTACACACTTGCTACATACTATTGGTATTATAACAGTAAATAGAAAAAAAAGAAGAAACGTTTCGTGACGCCGGCGGGGGGGTGTGCCAGACCTTCACAAACTCAAGAAACATGGATAGAGATGCTGGATAGAGATGGATTCGCTGTGTTACATTAAGAAAGAAAAATCGAGCGGTAAAGAGACGCACTCTGAAATCTCATGCTTGTATTTTCGATACTGCTCTTTGACAACCTTCGGTCTTCGTTATACAATGGTCCCCTGGACAGTATATACTACTGAAGCATTGTCGTTTATTTGTTTGGGGGGTACGTAGGAACGTCTATTATTTCGCATTGAGCCGCTCTTCTTTTGTTCTGCTGTTGCTGGTTGATCGTGGCAGACCGACCAAGACGTGCTGGACTTGTCGCTGAGGAACCCCCTCTTCCTCGACTCCTTCCCGTGGTACCGTTCGGCCGGATGGGTGAGCCGTCGAACGAATTGTTTTGAAACCCGCTTCTGCTTGCTGCTGCTGTGCTTCAAAAATGAGGCCATGGGAAAAGCTCTTGATCTGCTGGACGCCAACCTCTTGTGCTTGCATGTTTGAAACGGGGCCGGTTCGGGGTGGCATCGTTTGGCAGGGGGACCTATGGCTCTCTTTCTCTTCGTTCTCAGACTCATTCGATGTTCACAGATGTGGCCCTACTGAGCGGTAGGCACAGTCCAACAACCGGAGGCTAGGAAGTCCTTCCTCTTTCAGGACTTCGCCTCTTTATTTTTTTGTCGCACAGCGCTGTGCGCAGTGACGTCACCCGCACGGGCTAGGACATAGCGGGCGCCGGCCCATCATGGGTTGGCGTTCTCCGTAGCACCTCGAGTCGTGATGGCCGCAATTGATGTTTCTTTTTGGTTCAGGCTCACGCAGATGTGCGGATCGACCTCCTTGTGGCAGCATTTAGTCCCCCTTCACGTTTATCGCGAGATTGCTTCACAATTTTATTCAGCGGGACCTTGCCCCCCTGACGGCCATTATTATGCGGTTTTCGCTTCCCCCCAAAATTTGCGCCAAGAAAACTCTCACTGAATTTGTCTGGCGACGAGTCTCACGCCGGCATTTTCATGCCGACAGAGAAGGCTCATGTTTTTTTGTTGTGATTTGAAACACGTGCGCGTCCATCCCTTTTTCCCCCCCCCCCGGCGGCCCTGCTTGCACCTTTCAGAGTCCCGAAATGTACGATCTGCCCATCTTCACGGAGAACAGATCGACCCCTGGTAACGAAGCGGTGGGCGAGGGCAGCGGCAGCGACAGCGATGACGGCCGGGGGCAAAGTGGCGTCAAGGGTAAGGGCAAGGGCAAGGGGGGCGGTGCGGGCAACGGAACCAGCAGCAACCGCGGCAAGACGCCCCCCCCCCCTCCCCCGGCGTCTGCATCTGCGTCTTCGTCGTCGGATTCTTGTTCGTCATCGTCATCGTCGTCATCATCCTTTTCCTCTTCCTCCGTCTCGTCCTTAGAGTCTTCGCCACGGTCTCCCTCTAGACGTGCCAACGCAGCCGGAAGCAAGAGTCTACCAGGCCCGGCAGCAGGAAGTAGTGGCAGCAGCAGCAGCAGCAGCAGCAGCAGCAGCAGCAGCAGCAGCAGCAGCAGTGGGAGCAGCAGCAGTAGTAGCAGCAGCAAAGGTGGCAACGAGGCCTTTTCTTGCAGCTCCCCGCGCTCAGCTGTCGCTCCCGACCATGGCGGCACGCGCAACAGCGACGACGTTGTTGTCGTCACCGCGGGTAGTAGCGGCGGAGGTGGTGGCAATAGTAGCGGTGCCGCCGCCGCCGCCGACGCCGCCGCCACACCTTGCGCTGGATTGGTGGGCGCTCCGGCCCAAGCAGCGGCCGTGGCCGGGTGCCTTGCTACGCGAGTCGTTGGTGGTGATGAGAACGGCAGCAACGGTGTCGAAGTTGTCGGTGCCGCCGCCGTCGGCGGCGGGAGCTTCCGTCGATCGCCACCGCCCTTACATGCTGCAGCAAGGCCGCACGACGCCCCCGCCGCTTCTTCTTCCGCCCAGGCGAAGCTGAACGGCAGCAGCAGCAGCACCGGTGGAAAAGAAGCAGCAGCAGCGGTAGCAGCAGCGGACGGCCAGAAGGCCGTGGCAGCCGCCCCGGCCTCGACGGTGGCTGGCCGGCCTCCACCTGGCGGTGCCGGTTCGCCGGGGCTCCGCGGTGGTAGCGGGGGAGGGAGGGTAGGATTTTCTTCCATCCGAATCGCGGGGGCCCCGATTGTGAGCAACAAGTCGCCGGGGAGCCGCGGCAGCGGCGGCACGGGGGGGCTGTTCGCACGAGAGGGAGGAGGAGGAGCGTCGGCAAGAGAGGGGCAAGGCGGGCTAGGGGGGGTGGCCGGATGGGAACGAAGCATGGTGTCCAAGCAACCGCTCTCGGGCCACGGGTCGCCGAGAGGGAGAGGCTGCGCCGAGGGCGCCAGCGGGAGCGCGTGGAAGGGCGTCGTTGACCCCGCGGATTCGGGTCGTAGCAGTGGTGGCAGCGGTAGCTCGGGAAAGGGCAAGAAGGCGCCACCGCGCGTTGTAGACACGAAGAAGGTGGGTCGGGTATTACAGGCGCTCTCTCTACGAAGGTAGATGTGTGGGCTTGGCGTGTGTGTGTGTGTGTGTGTGTGTGTGTGTTTTCTCCGGGAGTTGGTTTGTTGCCGTTCGTCTGGTGCTGGTGCTGTGGTTGGTGGGAGAATGGTTTTGAAACGTTTGTAACGTTTGCGCTAGATCCGCGTCGTTCGTTGCCCGTCCCTGGGTTGTATCTGGGCAGGTAAGCTACTATCGTTCATACGAAGGTTTCGTGTTGCTGCAAAGCTCCCCGCCGCGCCTCCCCCCACAACGCTTGACTTTAACGGGTACAGTATGACTATGCTCGAGAAGAACATGAGTTGTATCAGCGACCCCAGGCGGGCGCAATACGTTCCCCTCAACAGTCCTGCCGATCGCGAGTAGACCCCCGCCCCCCCCCGCCCCCCCCCAACCTCGCCCCAGAAAACTCCTGGCAAACAGGGGGCACCGAAGATTCCCGCCCATCTTCTTGCGCCCGGCCCGATCAAGCCGGCAGGCGGCCTGGAGAGGAAGGGCGCCGGTTCTGACAGTCCCGCGGCCAGGCAGCCGTCGTCGGGCGCCGCCTCCGTCGCGAAGAAGGCGTCGTCGCCGGTGGACCTGCACGAGAAGAGGCTTCTTATGCTCTGGAAGGACGACGCCGCTCGCAGCCAGAAGTGCGTATGGCACCGTTGGACAAGTTGTCTTGTTCTTCTTTCGTGTGTGCGCTGTGCGCCGTCCGGTGTATGTGTGTGATTTTTTTATAATTTGTGTTAGCGTCGACCCTGCTGACCAATGAAAAGACAGTTGTAATTCTCAAGCGCGCCCCAAAACAGCATATGCTTATTCAAAGCGCCATGATCTGGGACCCCGCCATACGGGTTCCCAGACGTTGTGCGGGTGTTGCGCGCGGGTAACAATCAAGCCATTCCCTGGTTGGTTCGGGTTGATACAGCATCTGCTATCTGCTCTCCTAATTTGATCGTTTTCGCTAGAACGACTACCGCGGGACATACTCAGGATTGCCTGCAATTATAGTGCGGAGAAAATCTTGCGTGTTTGCCCCGTCTTTTCCCAAACCACACACGGAAAGGTTGTTTTGGTTTGGTTTTGGTTCATCGGCCAGAGGAACTCCATGCGCTGGCTCTACCTCGATGGAACGGTTTCGCTCTCATGGGCCAGGGTAGTTCCATGTGTTGGCTCTACTGCGGTACCTCAATCGGACGGTTTTGTTTTGGTTGGCAGAACGAGGGAGGAGCAATTGGTGAAAGTGCGATTGGCGAGGGAGAAGCTCAAGAAGGACGAGCAGAAGAGAACCATGGAGATGCAGAGGTACAGTACTGGAATCGAACTAACAGAGTATCGGCAGGGCCGGCTTGTTTGCCCATCAGAATGGCAGTGCTAACCCCCCCCCTTCCCCCCCCTGCTCTCTCGTGCTCAGTCACTCTCCCTTTCCCTTGGCTCCTTTGGTTCTCTATCTCTCTCATTCCCCTTCCCTCTACCTCTCGTTATCCCATCCCCCCTTGTGCCTCACTCCCTCGGCGTTCTCACTTTCTCTGGTGCTTTCTGTTCGAGGCACCCTTCCACGTGGTAATAACCCCGGTGGATGAAGCCAGCAGCCCCGCAGAATGTGTTCTCATGCCCCCCCCCCCCCCCCTCAACGCGTTGCCCAGGCAAATAATGGAGATTCAGCAACGATACATCCAACAACACCAAAAGCATCAACCACCACCACAACAACAACAACAACAACAGTCGAAGCGACCGAGCAACCAGCAGAAGCCCCTCCAGAAGACGGCCACTGCTGCCGAAGAACACAGGCGGAACCTAGAGCTGCAGGAGATGAAGAAGGCCAAGGCTGCTCAGACGCAGGCCCCGACGGCAGCGCAGATCCATGTCAAGGTGTGTGGTGCGAAGAGGCAACGGAGGAACGGCCTGCCGATTCTTCTTGTTTATTGCCGAAATATAGCCGAAATATAAATGTTGTGTAATATTGTTTGTTGGGCTGAAGGCTTCGTGTTCGTTGTGTCTTTCTTGGCTTGGTTCCTTGGTTCCGCGTCAAAAGAAGATGTGCCAGGCGTTGTAGGAGGACCACCCCCCTCTGGACAGTTTGTTTTCGCGGAAGGGGAGGGGAGGTGGTGAGCGTCTTTCCGTGACTTCCGAAACTACGTGAGCCATTGTGGTGTGAATTTGGAGCCCTTTGTGAATGAACGGGTTTTGAGGATCTTGATTCAGAGGGAGTTTCCGCGATTTTGCTGTTTCGCCCTAGGGTAGCTACCCTCTTTGCAGGAGCTTTTTGGTTTCCTGGCCACACTATTCGATTCAGGGTCGCACGTGAACTAAAAGGCTGAGACATGTCTCCGCTTGGCAAGTTACATGTGTTCTTCTTTTCCAAGGGTGCACCAAATGACGGCCCGTGTCTGCCTAGACAGCAGCAGTAGAGCCTTTGGTCGTGACGTACGTCTGCCTTGTGGCCGACCGCTGTCTCGGAAGTCAATACGTCTGTGACGGTGGGTGCTAAGATCGAACCATCGATTCTCAGCTGTGATGTTGTGTCTGTTGTTGCTGTTGATGTCGTACCATTTGTTTTGCGGTTGTTTCTGTTGCCGCTGCCAATGCTTTTTTTGTTCGCCGTCATCGCGATGGTGACCTTTTGCGTATTGTACACGTCGGCTGCTCACGAATCCACACGGGCCCGTTCGTTTCGTTGGTTCGTTGGTTGGCAACTCAGGAAGTGCAGCAACGGTACCAGCAGGAAGTGGCCAAGCAGCTCGCGTTGCTAAGGAGGAACCAGGTCTCCTATTGGTCAAACGGGCGGCCCGCCCTCGTGAGTGGTGTTCAATCCTCTCTTGGCTGGTATCATGGCATACGTTAGTGTTCTAGGGGGTTACGCGACATCTATTCATGGTGACCCCGGATTTCCGGTGATGGGGTGCTTTTTTCAATTCTCTCCCACTAGACTATACAACCAACTTGCGTTCGTTCCGTGTACGGTACAGTACGACAATAAACTTGGGAGACTACTTTTTTTGTTGGTTAGAGACGCTGCCCTCGCACTACTTGCGTCGATGTCCATCTCACGGTTTGTCGTGAATGGACCCGCAGCCTTCCAAACGCGACTGTTAAGTTGGCTGCTGGCACGCATGATAAACACTGTGGGTGTCGTCCATGTCGTCGTCTCGCCTTGTTGGGTAGTGCGCGGAAAAGTTTGCATTTTGCGGAATAGGATGCTTTTTTCTCGCGCCAAACCCGAAGGCGACTTTGGTCACGCGCATTTAATGCTTAACCGAAACACTTTGGTGTCGCTGCTGCGTGTTTGTTGTCGCGACCGCGACCGAAAATGTACAGTCGACGATTAAGTTTTCGGACAGGAAGCTGGTCCCGACGCCGATCGTGCCGCAAGACCTCTACCGCAAGGCCGTCCAGAACATGCTCACGCTGCGAGAGAGCACGACCCCGCCGCTGCCGGCACCGCCACCGCCGCCGCAGGAGAAAACGGGAGGCAGCCCCTCGAACAACGGCAACGACAACATCAGCGTCCCTAACCCCACGGCCATCGCCACGGTCACCTCCTACTCCACCGCTAGCTTCACCACCGCCGCCCCGAACCACTTTCCCCGCGACTTCCACGACTACTACCAGCTGGGATCCGCAGGAGCGGAGCAACAACCCCAGCGGCCCCCCTCGGAAGCCTACGTCCCGCCGCCGGTGCTTCCAGTGGGCTTGGTCGCCGGCGGGCTCACGTCCTGGAAGCAGGAGACGGCCGGGTGTCTCGATGAGGAGTGGCCCATCTCAAAGTCTGCCGGGGGCGTCGCGTCGATGATTCGGCGCGGGAACACGGTCGCCGGCGGCCGTTGGGGGGACAGCGGCGCCTGCGGCGCCGAGGGCGGCGGCGGCGGCGGTGCGATGATGGGCAAGGTCGGCGTCCATTGGGGTGACAACGGGGAGGGCGGCGGGAGGCTGGGCAGCGTCGGGATGGTGGTGGCGGCGGCGGCGGCGGCAGCGGCAGCGGCAGCGGAAGAGAAGGACCCGCAGCAGCAGCAGCAGCAGCAGGGGAAGAAGCAGCAAGAGGGCGCGGCAGGAGGAGGGACGTTGGGCGCGACGACAAGCGGCGCTCCAAGCCAGCGGCAGCTGGAGCGGCAGCGCGCAGCCCGGACGGGCCGCAGTTCGGACCTCAGAAAGTGAGCCGGCTGAAAAAGGGGAACAGCGACCAGCGGTCTCGCTGTTACTAGAGGTTTTGGCGCTCTTTGAAAATACAACCACCAATGGGGGGCATCAGACTTTGGGGCGGAAGCGGGAGCGGGGGCAGGCAGGGGCGGGATGGTTTGTACTGTGTTCGAAACAGTCTGCCTGCCCTTGACGAAGGAGGTTTTGGTTCGCTGACCGTTTTTCACGGGGTCTTCCAAGCTACGTAGTGCCTCCCAGTCATTGCTTCGATCTCCTTGCCGGTCTGCTGTTTCGCTGTTTCCAATCCCAGGGGTGCTCTTCGCAGCCTCCCCTCGGGGTTTGATGGATTTTTTTTTGGCATGTTATGTTTGGTTGTCACGTGCAATCGAAGACGGATCTGTTTTGCATTTCGTGTTGTGTTGTGGTCTCTCAGTTCGTAGTTTTTTTCTTGAAATGCCGCTTGGTCGATTTGGGTTTATTCATGCGGTACTGCTGTAGGAAGATTTTTTGTGTGGGTTTGCTCGAGCTTGTTTGCTCAAGACGCATGTTCTTTCATGTTCTGTTCTTGTCAGGGTCTTCCAAGGGCACTCCCAGGCAGAAATCTTGGGCAGCACCCGAGAGGCTATGCGGTCCCGCCTTCACTTCTGGGCGAGGGAGATTCCCATTGTAAGTATTTTGCCCCCCCCCCCCCC